TAATCACAAAAACTTTCTAATCAACGACCTAGGTAAGTATGATATCAAAGAAATTCCAACCATAACATAGGATAGCTAAAACGTTAGAAACTAAATGAAGACTTAATAAGACACACAGGTTTCCTGATCTTTTCTTACTATTCACACAACAGAATCCTGTAATAAAATAAAACAAACTACTCCGAAAATATATATCCATTTTTACGTTCCAGAAACGCAGCTCGTAGAGTGAAAGAACACAAGACACTGCCAGAAATTCAGAGCAAAAAGAAAGACGAGGGCAATTGGATTCTATACGAACAGTCGAACGAGCTGGAGCAAATTTTGTATAAACGTCGAATTGTATAACTGTATAAATTGTATAACGGTATAATTATATATACATTCCTCACACTTCCATTAATATTCTCTTCAATGTTAATAATTTATCTCATAATAAGTGCAAATAAATTGTAATTCATTTAAAAGTTGCTCCATATCATAATGTCTACACAGATAGTTTATTTTTACATTACATGATTACAATATTTTCATATTTATTTTATTATTAGTGATCATAAATTGGGATACTTAATTTTTACATAATCATTCCTTTCCTCATCAATCTATCACGCCAGATCATTTAGATCGATCACGACTAGACAACCATTCCTTCTTAATCTTATCACTAGCTTTCTCCGCGATCATAATGGTAGGCACGTTCGTATCCCCCCTAACAATCTTTGGCACAATCAAGGCATCTACAACTCTCAAACCATCGATTCCATAAATCTTCAAACTCTCGTCCACCACAGCATCAGGGTTAGACTTTGGTCCCATCTTGCATGTTCCAACCGGATGATTAATAGTTTCTGTATATTCCATCATCACGCATTCCCAATAATCCCTTTCACCAAACACAAACTGTTTGCAAGCAGGCAAAGATTTATCGATCAATTTAAGACATATTTCTTAAACGATTCTGTATCAAACAATTTTAAAGCTATTTCCACACTTACCGCTAAAACGTCAAAATCTGGATTACTAGTAAAGTACAAATTAAGGGTGCACCCCAAAAAGAATCACTTCCGTTCAGTAGTATAAACCCCCTGCTTTTGGAAGATAATAGAAGTGATATTATATAAATAGCATCATAATAAGAGAGCAGGGTGACACTTCTTCCAAAAGATCCTGCTGGATAATTTAAAAAATCTTCTCGACCAGTAATAAAATTGTATATCTAGTACTTCTTTTTCGTGTTGACAAATTGTTTGTGTGAAAAGACAAAACGTGAGTACACCAGTTGCAGATAATGGTCCTCTATGCGTCTTCCGATAGTAGGAAATGTCCTCCTCACTCATGGCACAAATTCCTATTC